TCCCCCCTCCCTCCCTCCATCCCTGCTCCTCCCTCCTACATCGCACCGCCATGGAACCCTTTCCATGCCGCTCCATTCTCTCATCCTTCCTCTCCCCCTCCCCTCTTCCCCCCTCTGAATGGACACCCGGACCTCCTCTGGAGCAAGCCCTGACCACAATCTCGAGGCCGATCCAGCCGCGTCGGCAAGTGGCCCGAGAGGAGAACGAGAGAGGAGGCAGCAACAGGAGATGGAGGAGGAATTAGTTTCTCCTGCTCCTCCTGTTCCTCCTCCTACTTCCTCCTGTTGTTCGTCCTTCTCCCTCCTCCTCCTCTTCCTCTCATATCCTCCTCCAGGACGTCCCTCATCCCCCGACCCCTCTCCTCCCTCATCTGCCCTTGTCGTCCTCCGTTCCTTTTCCTTATAGATAACTCCTCCCACTCGCACCCCGGGGCCAGTCGAAAGGGCGGGTTGAGCGTTTGTCCGGAGACTTTCTCACGATGTATGCTCCTGAAGCTTAAGAGGTGGCAACAGCATCAGAAATGGAGGGCGGGTCGTTTCTAACATGTGACCTCGCCTTAGCGCCGCGCCTATTCGTTTAAAACACTGCAAGAACTTCACGGATTGAGGGCAGCTCATTTTCAAAATGTGGCTCTCGGCACCATGACTAGTATATTCGTTTTGAAAAAATGCAAGACCTTCGCGGATTGAGGTCGGGTCGTGTTGAACATGTGGCTCTAGCCGTCGCGCCGCGCACATTCGTTTCAACAGTTGGCAAGAGTTTCGCGGATTAAAGGCGGGTCGTTTTCAAAACGTGCATCTGGCCATCGCGCCGCGCACGCTCGTTTTCAAGATACTTAGGAATTTCACGGATTGAGGGCGGGTCGTTTTCAAAATGTGGCTCTAGCCTTAACGCCACGCACTTTCGTGCAACAGTTGCAAAAGTTTCACGGATGGATAACGGCTCGGTTTCAAAATATGGTTCTCGCAGTAGCGCCGCGCACCTTCATTGTTAACAGTTGCAAGAGTTCCACTCATATTACTCATGGTTACGAAACGTACCAGAATACATGTTTCGGAACGATTCAGGAGCGTCAGGACGCAACAGTTACGCTGATCTGCGCTGTTGAAGTCCCAGTAGTGGTTTTCAGCCACGATTGTGCATCGCCAAAAACGTACCAGTCAGGATAACTCGCGGCGTTGAAGTCCTGAGAATCGTGATCTGAAAACGCTTCAGGATCTCCAAACGGGTGTTTTCCAACGGGGCAGATTCCACAAAATGAACCAATGTAAGGGGCCTAAGAAGAGCTTGGAAGCAGGGTGCATTCCAAATCGTTGATGAATCCTTGGGTTTACACTGTTTTTTTCTCCACCTCCTCATCATCATCACCATCACCATCATCACTATTACCGCTCGTACCCGCCATCACCACCGCCGTCCTCACCACCACCATCGCCACCATCATCACAACCTCCGCCATCATCATCACCATACCCGTCACCCCAACACAAGTACCATCATCACCACCATCACCAGTACCACCACCAACACCATCACTATCACCACGACCACCGCCATCATCATATCATCAGCCTAAGCATCGTCATCACACTCGTTATTCTGATCATACTCATAACCATGACCATGATCACCGTCATCACCATCGTCATCAAATACTACTCTTCATGCTCACCTTCACCTTCAACATCAGCATCACCACCACCATGTGCGCCATCATTAAAATCGCAATCACCACCATCCCCACCACAATCACATTCTGGACGAAAATGAGTCCAACATCAAACAAGGAACTCCGAAATCTGACGGAAACTAATATATGTGGTAGCTCTGCGTCGTATGTTCATGTATACAAGTCACGGATGGTCTCCCGTCGCGTCCTGGAATGGAATTATCAACGCGTTACACGTCAAAACGTCCTCATATACTCTGACAAATAGTGGTTCGCTATATTTACCTGGTAGAACTGAGAAGGCCCGGCGAACTACGACTGCCCGGCACGTCGCCATCGCGCCGTCGTCGGCCAGGGAGCACCGCGCGAAAGAGAACGAGGCGAAGTCGCAAACATCGAGCACGGCGCGCCGCTGGCGGGGTGGCGTCGCATGTTTCTTGGTAAATGATGGCATGCCCTCGGTCGTCAGTGGCAGCCTCGCCGACTGCGGGCGCGTCGAACAGCTCGAACTCGCCCCTGGCCGCCGCCGCCACGGCCGCCAGGGCCAGCGCCGCAGCGGCAGACGAAACGCGGCCCTGTGGCGGGGCCGCGCCGCCGCGCGCCGAAACCCCTGGCCGCGCGTTGCAAGGGGAGCTTCAGAACGCAGCGGCGTCGTCGAGGCAGCTGGAACGGCGGCGTCGCCAGCTATGTGCTCGCCCGGCCCGCTGCGCGACGCAATGCTGCGTTGCGGACAAGACTGCGTTGGGCGGCGCCGCCGGCCTGGCGCGCCACTCCTCGTCGCGTCGGTTGCGGGCCGCCGCGCAACCAGCACCGGCGACCTCGGCGACCATCGAGGGCGAGGCGGCGCCGCCCCCAGCGCGCAGGCGCGGCCCCGCACCTCGAGCCGAGCATGAATGCTGCCCGCCGCAGCGCGGGCCGTGGACTGACGGCGGCTGTCCGAGGTCGCGTCCGCTTGGGTCATCCCACGCACGCCCTCCGCCCTGCTTCATGAGCACTCTTTGGGCATGTAGCTGCATTGTGTCCTGTCTGGCCACAATTCGAATGTTCTCGCTTGCTCATTGCTGCGCATCCTGCGCCGCCGGGCTCGCCGCCCATATGGTTGGCTGTTGTATCCGGTCCCTGCGCGTCCTCAGCAGCATCCTTTGCTGCGCCCCTGTGGGCTCGCAGGTCCTCATGCGTTTGCCGTTGTTCTTTGCCCTGGGCCCACGGGCGGCGCGGCCCGCTCTGCCGCGCTAATAACTGGGCGCTTACCTTTCCGACTTCCAGAAAACTGCACCCACGTCTTCCCCGCCCTTCCGAACAGAGTCCGCTCGGCGCCGAATGGACTTGCATTCGGCGAATCTCCGCGCGAGCGCCGGATGGACTCTGATCTGCGCAAGCTAAACGTGTAGAACACGTTGCACATAGTAGGTCACGTCGCCGGATGGGCTCTCTTTTCGCCGGATGGACTCCCTTTGCCGGCGGGCTCTGTTTTCTCGCCGATTGGATCCTTGGAGAGACCATGCCGCGCCGGATGGGCTCTGATGTCCGCCGGATGGGGTCTCTTCCAGCCATATGGGCTCTACCCCGCCGGATGGGATGCAATTCCGCCGGAAGGGCCCTGGAAAGGGCCTCGCCGAATGGACTCTTTGAAATCCGAAGTGGTTTTTTTATATGTAAAAAATTGGAATGCCCTCGCCCAAAACATCGCAACCTTGCGCTGGCGCCTCTCGGGCGCACCGGGCGCTCGGCGTCCCCGCGCATTCCTTCGAATCTCCCAGTGCGCGCGGACTGCCACGTGTGTTTCCTTGTTGTTTTGGCATGCCATTGGAATGCAATGTAGTCACGCGGGTGCTCGGTGGTGGTGGTGGTGGGGGGGGGGGCGAACAAGCGTGGAATGAATTCGCGCATTCCCCTAGAGATCCGCGAAGGGTTCCAGAAAAAGGACCCCTAGGGCTTCCCTGGGGACAACCCCCATCCCTCGAGCCCAAGATTCCTATGGCCCCCCTGGGGGCCCTTTCAAGGCCCCTCAAAGACACCGAAAGTGTCCTAAGGAATTCTCCCAGGATCCGCAAGGATTCCTAGGGTTTCCCTCTAGGAATCCGCCAAGGACCCCCCGGGGTCCCTAGGATTTCTCGAGGGTGCCGCTCAGAATTCCGAAATATCCTGGCGGCATCCGCTAAGGGGCCCCAGGCTTCCTGAAGGATCCGCCGATGATCCCCAAGGACCCCTAGGGTTTGGGACTGCTAAGGGCCCCTAAATCTTCACGGCGTTCCTGGGGGGCGCGCTAAAGACCCCAAAGGGTCCTAAGACTTTCCTTGGGAACAGCGAAACATCACCGCGGATCTCCAAGGTTCCCTCAGGGTTCCGCTAAGGATCCCGAAACATCCGCGGGCCCCCCTTGGACCCGGCAGGGATCCTCAATGATCCCAAGAATTTTCCTGGGGAGACGGATCCAGAGGATCCGCTGAAGCGGTGGCGCGGCGGGGCAGCGGGGCTGCGGGGTCACGGGGCAGCGGGGTCTCAGGGCAGCGGCGCGGGGTCGCGGGTGCGTGGGGCGGCGGGGCGACGTGGCGGTGAGGCAGTGGGCGGCGGGGTCGCGGGGTCGTGAGGACTTGTGGTCGCGGGATGGGGTCGCGGGGTGTGGGGGGGGGTGATCACGTTGCGGGGTTGCGGGCGGCGTGGGGTCGCGGGGGCATGGGGGCGCGGGGTCGAGGGGATGTGCAAACAGCGCGCACAACTCGGATGCCATGATGGTCATTTTGCCAGCCGGATGGGCTCTAATGTCGCCAAAAGGACTCTAACTTGGCGCCGGGTGGACTCGAACGCCGCCGGATGGACTCTATCGGTTCGCCGGATGGACCCTGTTTTACGCCGGATGGACTCCTTTGTCGCCGGACGGGCCCTAAACTCGAGAGTCCATTCGGCGCCGGATGGGCTCCATCCTTTTTTCGGTCGGTTTGGGCATCTCCCACGCCGCGCGCTCGATGGAGTCCATCCGGCGCGCCGGGTGGGCCCCTCTCGGAAGGGTCGGGTTCGCCCGCCAGCATTGGTCTGCATTCCATCAATGATCCGCGACGTCATACGCAAGCCATCACTCGATTTCATCGTCTTTTTACCCCTTGGTCTTCCCCCGCGTAAATACCTGCTCGCCCCGTTTGCGGACTCTCCAGATGCCCGTTGCGAGGCATCTCTCGGCGTCAGTATCAAGTCGCTTCTAGCGCGCCCAATGCGCGCATCTGAAGGGCGGTTTCCACTGCGGTGCAGGCGTTTGGAAATCGGGCGCGCGACCACAGTCCCGCGGCCAATCGCCAGACCAAACTACTCTCTCGCGCGCGCCGCGAAAATTTT